AGCACATCAGAGATTGTGAGGATGGAGCAGGACGGGGCAGGTTCAGAGCTATTGTTCACGGGGTCCCTATGTGTCATTTTCAGCTTGACGGCACCTAACAGTAATAAACAACTGGTGGCCTAGTGTGAACAGAGTTATGCTGCCAATCCAAAAGATCACATTCCTTGAAAGAAAGATGGGCAATTCCTTCTTGTTGCGGAATGTTGGGGAGGAAGGAAGGGTCTCTGGCCAGGACAGATCGCCCAAGCTCCAGATAAGTTCAAGCCTCCCAACGGCCTTTAATACGGGGTAGAGAAAGCTCCCCTGTGTTTGGCTGTACCGGCTTGAGAAAGCGCACCACTTGGGAAGACGGCTGCTGTGTTTGTTGAGCTGGGAGTGGTCTGCACGAGGCTGAGGTCCTCCTGACCAATCCACATGTCCCACATCTGTAAGCCCACCCAATCCTGTTTTCCTGTGTATATAAGTACACTGCTTATCCCAATGAAGTTGAGCTGGATCGACTCTCTGATCCTCTCCAGGGTGGTGTATCTCTGTCGTGCTTAGTGACATCTTCTCACACAATTTACCGCCTCTGCAAACCCACTGGAGGGTCAGTTATGAGCTGGTTCTGACTCAACAGCAATAAGAGATTTTTTTGGTTTGCTTTGTTTTTATATACTAGTTTCTTTACAAAATTTGAATACACTGTTTTCGAGAGCAATAAGAGTTTTAAATAGGAAATGTTCAAAGCATCACTCAAAGGTGGAGGTGCTGGCTAGGTGAGCCTAGCATTCCACTCTTCAGTTGGACATCTGCTAGATAAAAACCTGGACAATTTGCCATGTGGACATCTGAATAGGAAAAAAGAACTGGAGAGAGGTTGTCTAGTAAAGAACTGCCAGTGGCAGGCCTGTATCTCAATGGAAGACATGGCCTCCATGATCTTGCTGGTCCTATGCAAGAGCCCGGAGGGATTGTGAGACTGAAGACCACACTGGCCAGGCCCACCTTAGTATGGAGTCAAAGAGGAGTTTTCATCAAGCAGGTGAGCCATGAATACAATGAGCTAGGGAGAAACTGGAGGAGCTGGCCAAAGGTCATGAAAGACATGGGTGGGATATCCTGCTGGGTAGGTCATGATGAGATTCCTATGTTATGACAACTCTAGTGGATTAAGACTTCACCATCAGTAGAACTCTCCAACAGAATGAGGCCTCAATCTTAGAGGTCCAAGCTCAGGAAACAGAGGGGGAGGAGAAAGCAGGTCAAGCCATTATCTCCTTCAAACCCCTCCAAGCACCCCCAAGCTGCTTTAACTGGAAGGCATGAGAGGAAAAGAGCTTTGAATAGATTTTGAGATTAATGTTGCAAAATTAAGAACAACAAGTTACAGATTCTTGTTGTTGTCATGTGCCATCGAGTCGCTTTGCGACTCATAGTGACCCTATCTATGTATAAGAACTCTAAATGCTGGTCTATCCTGTGCTAACCTAGCCATCTCAAACACACTCATTCTCACCACTTCAGTCACAGAATCGATCCATCTCATCGAAGGTCTTCCTCTCCTTCACCGCCCTTCCACTCTGCCAAACATGATGTCCCTCTCCAAGGACCAGTCCCTCCTTGCAACATG